TATCACCCAGGCTGGAGTGCAGTGGTGTGATCTTGGCTCACTGCAACCTCTACCTGCTGGGTTCACGCTACTCTTGTGCCTCAGCTTCCTGAGAAGCTAGGACTACAGGCATGCATCACCATGCCTGGCTAATTTTTGTATTTTTAGTAGAGATTGGGTTTTGCTATGTTGGCCAGGCTGGTCTTGAACTTCTGGCCTCAAGTGGTCCACCCACCTTGGCGTCCCAAAATGTGTTAACTCTTAACAAACAGATTCTTAGTTATATGGCATACACAGAGTTTTGGAAGTACTGAGACAAGGCTTAATTTTTGGTATATTTTTCTGTTCATTATCATCTCCCCTAACCCCTTTCTCCTCTCTCTGTCTCACTTTCTCTTTCACTCTGGCTCTTTTTCTCTCACTCTCTTCTAGCAAGAATTTAGTTTGAGGCAAGGAGAGCAGAGGTGCTACCCCGTTTTACAGATACCCACACTAAGGAGAGTTAGCTGTGAGATAACTTTAAGGGGTTAATGGCAAGCATGGCCCAGAGCTCAGCACTTCCATCTCTCTTCTGGTCTTGTCCTCTTTGTGCCTCTCCTGCAGTCCTTCATGTCCAGCTGTCCTCTGGCCTTGCAGCAAGGCCTGGCTTACCACTTCCAGATCCTGCCGAGGTGGCAGCAGCCTGGCCTCAGGCTGGAATGGAAAGACTAGTTCCTAGCCCAGAATCTGTCTTGCATGGTACACAGCAAGAGAAATTCTCTTCAAGATGCAGCCCCATGAAAGCAGCATGTTTATAGGTAGTAGATCCCCAAAGTTGTCATAGCCTCCCTCCAGCCCCTCACACGGGACCTGTCCCTGCCCTCGGCCCACACAGTTGGGGGTTCACGGGCTATGGGAATGTCTTTCTCCTTAGGAATAGAAGCTGGATTCTGAAGGAAGGCATTGGACTTGAACTAGGCTTGGCGATCGCCTTCCCTCTCATTCTTTCCCTGCCTACTCCATAGACGGTCCTAACTCTGGCCACAAGTCAGAGAATTTCACATTCCTCCCTTAACAAGTTTTACTCCATATAAGGCCCTGGGGGCAGTCTAGACTCCCTGGGCGACTACTTGGGTGTACTTGCTTCAGGAGGAGGAGGAGGAGGCTTATCTCGTATATGCACATTCTTCTGGTGTGTCCTATCTGGTTATTATCAAATCGAAACTGCAGCAGTTGAAGTTTGTTGCTTAATTACTGTCTGTTGATTGTAAAATAATAGACCACCAATTTTGTTGGTTAGTTATTACTGGTGCATTGTTATAAAGTACACACTGTAACATGGCAGTTTTCCTTTGTGCTGTCTTTTTGATGAGTATTGTTATTTACACTCATAATAATGCCTTGCATTTGAAATATGCTTCAGAGTTAACACAGCACTTTTATTTTATTATCTCATCTGGCTCTGTTATAAGGAAATACAAGTAGGCAACTAATTTTAGGAGAGTGGGAGGTAAAATTTTTATTCTAGATATTACTTTACTATAAATTTTGGCATAATATAGCTTCTT